GTGTCACAGCAGCAAAGGTAAGTAAAACAGATGCAGTGTACAAATGATGCATAGTAGAAGTAGTAAACGTTGTACTTTATGAATATTTACCACAATATGAGGCGTTAAAAATAAAAAAAGTAAATACATGATACATACATACAATATGAAACATACATAAGAAACAATTCAATAAAATACATATTTATTATTTATCGGTAAGTTCTAATGTTTCCACATCGACCCACAATATAAGTATATTTGGACTAAATAAAACAAAAATATCTCATGTTTCTGCTTTTAATTTCAGCGCTCGGTGCATGCGACGTCACTTCCTCCGGAGCTGCGATATTTCCGGTTTGGAGCACAGACAGCGGAAGAAGAGAGGAGGTTCCTCTCTCGGATCAACACAAGGAGATGGTTGACAGCTAGTGACTTCATCTGTAACACCCGTACTTCACCGTGCCATTCGGAGTACATTCAGACCTCTGTATGTCCTCTGGGATTTGATTAAAAGAAGGATTCTTCGGAGAGGTAGCTATAGCGACAAAGCTAACGGTGAGACACGAAACTAACGCGGCAGCTTGAAATGGCGCTAACGTGTTTGTGGAGCTGTCGAACCAAAACTACCGACAGCTTCAGGACTGTGTTAGAGCTCCCAACAGTTACTTAAACCACCAGGCTAGACAGCAGCAACTTACTAATGCTAGATTAAAGCAAGCAACACAATTGTACAACTGTAATTAGCGTAGTATTAGCCAATTACACCGTGGTTAATATTAGCGTTATGTTAGCTCTTATCGAAGAATGTCCGGTCCTGTACTGCGAGCAGTCTCCACAGTCAAACTAGTTCATGTAGCTGCTCTTGTGTCCGTCTGCGGAGTCAGAAGACCTAAGTTCTCATCATATGATAGTGTCACGAGCAATTTCCATTTCTCCCCCCTGCCTACAGCTCATCGGCTGCACCAGTATACTCCGAGGAGAGCCTTGAAGAGGTGGTCCTGAGCTCTCTGTGCAGCAGCAGCACCTTCAGAAGGTATGCAGCATGTCAAGTTAAACAGGGCTGAGAATGAATCCCGGGGGTCTCTCACATTGGTATGTTCTCTGCCCTCTGTGACCTCTTTGTGGCTAACAATTAGCTCTGTGTTGCTGAACAAATCCTTCCTCGCAGCCAAATGAACAGAGCAGCGTTCCCTTCCCCCACGGCAGAGATGGCAGAGATGAACCGTATCCAGTATGAGCTGGAGTACACTGAAGGCATCAGCCAGAGGATGCGCATCCCTGAGATGCTCCAAGTGGGTTCTCAGGGCCGCGAGGACCCTAATGTTGGCTCTCAGGAGGTCCCCCACAGTGTCATAATGCAAGTCCCAGAGAGAATTGTGATCACAGGTCAGTATACTGTTACATGTAGGGCTGTGCTGTTCTTTCATTACATACAAAACGTCGCTCACCCGGTGCCCAAATCAAAGCTATTATGTGGCTGTGAGTATGGCCATTTGACAGGATACTTGGATTTGATGACTCTTATTCAGTGGGGCCTCAGGGACTTTTGCCCACCCTGATCAGCATTAGTATCATGTCAAATGAAAATGAAACACAGAATGGTCATGGGGTATGTGTGTATGTGACAACTGCTAGAAGTCATTATTTAACTTTAGCATTCAAATCACAGCACATTGTTTGAATTGAGTGAGGTAGAAAATGCATCAGTCTGTTACCCGAACCTCTTATTCACACCTTCTTTTGTCAGGAGACAGTAATGACCCCCAGTTCCCGAGACCCAGAGACCTGGACCTCATCCAGTCAACGCCACTGGAAACCCTGTCGCTGAAGACTCCACCCAGAGTCCTCACCCTCAGTGACCAGCCGCTGGACTTCATGGAAGAGGAGCAGCGGGTGGCTCCAGACAGTGAGGAGGTGGTAAGTGATAACGCAATACATTTTTATGAAGGACGCTGCATTAAATCCACTCATCGACTGGAACGATTTCCTTTTAGCAAACCATAACCTGAATATGTCATTTGTCGTAATTCCTTTTAGTTGCGTCCCCAAGGACGGTTGCGGCGGGAACGCTCAGCCAGCGAGAACGCAGCTGCTCGTCATAACAGTCAGCTGGTGCGCAACGATTCTGCGTGAGTATTGGCCCGGGTATTCCGTCACTAGCTTGGTACCAGCTCCATCTTACCCACTTTATGTATGCACTGGCACGTTGCATCTTTTGTTTTGCTTCAGTTTTTTTTTCCCGCCCCTTTGTCTTTGTGTCGTTGTAAGCCGAGCTGCTGCTTTAGTGTTAATGCAGAGTTCAGCGGTTGCCACTAATCCATTAACACCATTATTTTAAACGTTTGATGTACTAATCCGTTTTGATATGATCAATTATGGATTGACTGATTTCAGGATTACTGAAAAGGTGAATAAACAAACTTAAAAACCACGTTTTCCCTTTTAGCAACAGTGCAGGAGACAAAACACGATAGAAAAACATTAAAGGAAAGGGACGTAGGTCATAACTTCTTAATGGAAAGAGATTTAGATGTCTAGCATACGCGGATTAGCTTTACTTTGAATGTAGACCGACTGTGTGCTCTTTTTTAGGTAGAACATTATAAATATTAGATAGTGTTTGCATAATTTATGAACAATTTTATAATTCTGTGGCAAATTCTGTTATGCCCTGATCTCTAACTAACTGTATGTGACGCCCTCGTACTGTTGATAATATGTGTGACATGAACAGTAAACAAGACAGTGGCCTCTGATTGGCTTTGCAACGCCTGTAGTTCACATCTCTTCCATTTCTGTGTTTGTTGGGTGAACTGTATGTTAGGTAAGCACTGTTTGTGGTTGGCAGTTTAAGTCTTGCTGAGTCGCTACTATTGAAACATAACTTTTATTTACTTCAACCTGGTTGCATTTTTTACAAAGTCGGTAAAGTCGAGGACAGTTTCTTTTCCTTATTTCTCTCCCTTTCCTTCCTTTCCTCTTTTGTCTTTTTCTTCCCTTTCCCTCTGAATTGGCTGCTCTTAACGGTGGGCACTGAGCAGTGCAAGCCCGTCCCCCCCAGCCACTGTCCACCCTTGCCCCCCTCTCACCGTGGCTGAAGAAGAACATAACCTGTACAGCGCTACTGGTGTTCTATCTTTCATCCAGTCCACCACACGTCGAGCTTACCAGCAAGTCCTGGAGGTCTTGGATGAAAACCCTCGCAGGTGACCTCCCAATCATCCGGTCATTTTTTGAAGATTTATTTAGGTATTGGTCAGAGAGGATAGTACAGTCTGTATCAGTTGTCTTTACTCATTCCAAGTCTAATTAAATCTACTTTTATTTCTGGGTGGTGTTTCTGAAATATTGTTTGGCCTTTAGTTAGTTTGGAAAGTTGGTAGTGTTTTCTGTGGGAGGCTCAAGGACATTTTCTAACATCCATTCAGTAACAATGTTAATACAGCATGTATTAATCAAAATGTAAAATGTAGCCATTTTGCTTTGTGTACCTTTCCAATCTGAGAGTTTGATCCATTACTGCTAGACATATGTCAGTCTCATATTCAGATGAAAGCGGTGGAAGTTGACCAGCTTGTTTAAGTTGTTAAGTTAGTTAGTTAGTTAGGTTTGCCTAGGCCTCATCAACCATTTTAAATTTATTTATTTGATCCCCTTGAGGAAATGTGTTTCTTGTATCAGGAAAATCTGTAAACAAACAGACCATGTGCAGAGCATAACTAATATTCTTTTCCCAGGCTTTATATGTGAGCAGAAAGAACCTTAATACTCACAGACTGTTTCAACTTTTGACTGTTTGCCCCTCCTGAGGAAGGAGAAAGCAGAAAGAAAGGCCTTAAAATGTTACCAGTGTGTATTCATACACTCTGCCAACTTCAGGAGTTTGATGGACAAAACTTCCCTTCACATTCTTAGCCACACGTCTGGTAGGAGTAAGGTTTCTGAAAATCAAGGTGTCAGAACAGAAATAAACTCTCATTTAACAGCACTTGTGTTTTATACAAGACTGTAAAAGGCCTTGAGATTGGTTTCCAGAAAAACACAAAAAGTGTAGTTATGCGAAGGATGTGCAAGGTGTGTGCATGCACGCAACACTGTACCATGTGTATGCTGCGCTCTCTCTCTTATTTTTCCCTTCTCCCAACTCTGTCTTTCCCCCACCTTTTGTAGCAAACCGTCACTGCGAGGGGGGTCGGCTTCAAGCTCCAACCCCCTGCATGAATCCAGGTAACTTCACCTGGCTATCTTCATTCTGAACCTTTGTCCTGTTTTCCTCATCTTTTTCCTATCGTCCATTCTCATTTCGGGTGAAGGAATAACATTAGATCATTGTAGAGTTAAGTTGCACGATATATCTAAAATGTGTGAAATAATACACTCTGTGGTTGATTTCTGTAATTCTCAAAGTGAGTGTTCTCTTTTAAAGGCTTGTATTATCAACGTTTGAAGCCACACTAGACGGGGGGTCTGATGACATGACTGTAGTTGATGCAACAACACTTCGACGTCAGGTTAGTTATTAATAAATATACTATCTCCATTTTGTCATGTGAGACAGTTGTGGAACCCCTGTGACTGACAACACTTTTTTTTTTATTATTATTTAACTCCAGCTCATCAAGTTGAACCGGAGACTCCAACATTTGGAGGAGGAGAACAAGGAGCGAGCAAAGCGAGAGATGATCCTGTACTCGGTCACCGTAGCTTTCTGGCTCGTAAACACCTGGGTGTGGTTGCGGCGTTAAGACCAGCCTGTATTTCTGCCATCACCGCGACAGAAGAACGTCCTATCCTTATTCTACGTGTCAAATGTTAGCTACTCGCTGCACTCAGTCCCTGTATGAGGAAGACCTTGACGTGTGCGCACAAGGCCTGTTGCCCACAGGGCTGATATTTTTGATTTAGTTTATTTAATACATGTACAGTTTTATTTTTTTACTCTTATTTCATCCTGTCTTATGTTTTGTTTTTATTACAAATCATTTTGCTCGATGCTAAGCATGACTTCTTGTAAATATTTGTTCATGTCACTGAGAGCTTTGGAAAGACCTCCTCCAGAGACACAGTAGAGCGTATAGGTAAATGAAGCTGCAGTGTGGAGATGTAACATGTTGAATATTTATTGCTGAGAGGGTAATATGTGACTGGAACTGGGAAATGTAATACAATTTAGTAAAATCATACATATAACGTGCTGTCCTGTATTTTTATTGATGCATTAAGTGAAATGCACACATCACTATAATTTTGCTGTTATGAGAAGAAGGAACATACCTCTGACATGAGGTATGAAACTGATTGATTTGTTCCCAGTTTTTATTTACACTGTTTACAATTTATAATCACAGTTTCTTTTTACTGCTGCAGTTTCATTTTTCATACATGAATATAACTGTATTTTAATGTCTTTTGTTTGTTTAGAGGCACTGAAAACTGACTGCAAGTCAGTGTAGAGTACTGTACAGTCCATTAAAATGATTCTGAACTGATCAGATTAAGTACGATTTATTGCTTTCCACACAGCGTTACAATTAACAACCATATAAACAAAATGGCTTTAAAATTCTTTAACACAAATATGCTGGACAATTAATTACCTTTCACTTTGTTATC